CCACTTCGTTTTCCACACCCAAATCGCTTTGAAATAGATCTAAACCTAAAATTAGCACCTACAGTGCTGTACTATTAGAAAGTTTATGATCCTTCATTTGCATATCCACCAGGTGGACTCAGACCAGTTACCTTTTGAAGGCTTGACTGCTCTCACTGCAATCACCGTTCTTTGACTTCCACCCATCTCCAAAACCCTATCCCGGGCGATTTATCTTCCTTTCGTTCAATATATGTCCTTAGTCCAAGTGTATCATATTGGCTAGTTTTCCTTAATCCAGTATTTCTCCAAGTCTGCTCAAACAGTAAACGAAATTCCCACTGATTCTTATCTCTTCTAATCTTCTGGTCAGTCGGTTTCTGTATAACGACGATACCCGCTGCTTTACTTGTCTTCCGTTTTTTTGTGCTTTCACGATGTCAGGCTAGCTTTCATTTATATGAGATGTATTCACGCTATTTTATTTAAGGTGATCAGAGACTAGTGGTTGAATTTTCCCACTATCATATGAGATTAGCTGACGATCCTATTCAATTTCGCATAGACTTGCTTTATCAAAAGGTGTTTTGAACCAGAATGGACTGCAGTTTCGACATAGTCTAGGCCTTATCAGCACCTCCAGCTGGACTCGAACCATGTCAGTGTGGCGTGTAATCTCTACACGTTAGTCAGTACACTACATTTCCGCAAGTGTCCTTGGGTCACAGAAAAGATGTGAATTTCAAAGGATCCCAAGTATTTTCCAATATCACAACCTTTGCTGGGATTGTCGATGAAGCAAAGTTACATTTGCTATAGCAATATACTGCTGGCATGATATACCATTTTGTGTGGTGCTATTGGGGTTGACGGTGTTTCTCTTCACTAGGGATCAAAGGGTAGTCTTTATTCCATCTTTGGAGTGTTGGTTGCCACAACTTAAATGGTTCGATCTAATGCGCGTGAACCGTCTTACTCCGCTTAGAAACTTGGTTTTGTTGGATATATTGAAGTTAATTGCGTCAACAACTCCAGAAGATATCCTCGGATAGACAAACCAAACTTTCGTGATGTGATCTCTAATCATTACGTCAATAATTAGTAGATCTCGACACATGTCCGAATACGCATACATCCAGATGAATATTATTTAAACCTTGTATGGAGGATATATTTGTAAAACAACAATTAATAAATAATTTTGCAATTACCTTTCCAGTTACCGGATCTCACATGCATTCAAATAGCTTGCTTGCCGGGGATGCCGACAATCCTGTAAATCTGAAGGCAGATGTATCAGATCAGCTCAACATCAGGCCACTCATTGACTGGACCTCCCAGCGGCACTCGTCTGCTCCCCTCGCTCTGCTGGCTGTAGTCTCTTTGTCGGGTAAGGCAAAATGGTTGCCAATGGTCTTCTGGGCAGAGGCAAGTGGATTGGGACCACGGCAACTGACTAAAGGCGACAAGTCTACAGGTGAGGAGACAGGTGTGCATTTTATCTGTCTCTTGGAGGCGAGTAATGGTGGTGATCGCTGGAGTCGTATTGATTTTGCGGAGACAATGGCTGAAAAGAAGCGTGAGACGGGAACGGAGAAAGCCGACTCTCAAAGGAGGATGGCATCAGAGACTGATCATCTACCGTTGATAGCCATTTCTCTTCACTCAGAGCGCCGCCTAGAGCTGAAAGCTGAAAGTGGTCTTGCTCACATCAGAGAGGTAGGCTTGTCTGAGGATGACAGTGAGGCTGAGGAAGGGATAAACAATGGCCGGGACTTGTTTCAGGCGAAAGATTTTTCTGATACAAATGCTGATTGCAGAGCTGAGTTGTTATAAAAGGGGCCAGAGTAAAAGCAAGTGTGAAGCTACGAAGCCTATAAGTGAAATAAAATGAAGGCTTTATTTTCTCAGGGAATTTCGTGTATCGAAAAATTCTAGTATCAAGCTGGGCAGTAGTCAAACCATTGACCTGCAATGTCAGAAATGAGCATCCTATTCCTCGGCAAAAACCCAGGAAAAGTTAAAACTATGCAAAGAAAAGTTGGGTTTCGAAGAATCTTTGATGCATAATTCCATTTCGACTGAATGTGTGATGAATAGATCGGAATGGCGAAAGCCAAATAATTATATTAAAGTAGTATTCACGTTATTCGGTTTAAGGCGTTGAAAGACGGGTAGTTGAATTTTATGCGGGAAAAAGTTGGGTTTCGAGGAATCTCTTAGTTCATAATTGCTGAGCCCACTTCCATTTTAGGTGAAAGTCTTTCGTGTATAAATTCGAAGGTCGCTCCCACCAGAAGACGACGACGGATCATTCTTGACAAGCTGTCGATTGGCTTTACTAGAACCTTCTTTTGGCGCAATCTCCTTCGATTCAGGTGAAAACGTGCCAAACTTTCGTCCATATATATATATATATATGTATATGTATATTTATATTTATATTTATATATTGGGTATAAGCCAATGAGTTTTCTTGGCATTGTAGGTTGAATATGGCAGGATGATATTCTGCTCTGATGATGTTCATCATACAACGGACGAAAGTTTTTGCATGTTTTCACCGAAATTATAGGTGATTACCTTTGAAACGGCATCGTCTTTTTGTGGGATTGCTGTTCGAATTTCTTCACCAAATACTTTTACCTGAAATGGAAGTGGGCTAAACAGTTGAATTTTACCCACCATTCTACGAGTCGGCCTCATGTCTCCATGGAAGTTCACAAAAGTTATTCTGTATAGGATTTGCTGCAGTTTCGATTTCGCCTGAGTCTCATCAGCATCCGCAGTTGGACTCGAATCTGAGTGGTCCATAAGCCAACCACTAAGCCACACTTCCACGAGTGTCCTTGGGTCACAGGGCAGACTTGAAGGTTAAGGAAGGCTAAGTCTTCCTCGTATCATTTTCTGCTGGAAAATTCAATTACCAGTCCTTTGTCACCTTAAAAAAACTAGGGTGGTCTCAAAATCTACTTGAAAACTAAAATAGTCAGGTATGGGGAAATTCGACGGATGAGAGTTCAGCACGCTTTCACCAAACATAAAGTTCTAGCAAAGCCATAAAACAGCTAGCCAATTTGTTGTCATCTTCTGGTGCTATTGATCTATGAATATCTTATTTACACATTTTCACTTGAAACTGAAGTGTGCTCAATAAATTAAGGATTACGGCTTTCTTTTTACTAGGAATTAGCTTAAAGGAGACCGTCTCTTGTATGCGCAATCGCGGAACAAAGCATACTGTCTCAAAATGCACCTAAGGCATGATCGAAAGTAACTTTTAGGTTGAGGTCTGAATTAGTTTTGGATTCCGCGACCTTCATGTCAGTTAAAGAAGACCTCCATCACTTCTCCCGACGACTTCAGCAGAAAACTCCAATTAAACGTAAACTATCTTAATTGACGGGTTGTGCTTAGTCGACGGGTGTTTCGTTCAATGTTTCAAAAAGGTTGCAAACGGCCAATGTAGACTTATTCATAACGAGACTAGCCATAAGGCTCTTGTCTCCTTCTAGATCTTTGACTGCACCAGCAATAAGGCCTTAATTTTTTGAATAATGATATGCTTTTTAAAAGATGCGGGTATTTTTGATATAAGTAGTAGTAAATCATAAATATGAGCTCAGTAATTCTAGGTTTCGGAGATTTAAGATCTGATAGTTGAGTCTTCCTACACTGAAATAAGTTAGTCTCTCGAGGCCAATCAAATTCGCTTAGCCTTTTTTTCTAAAAGCTATTCTAATCCAGACCTCATTAGACCACAATTTTAATCTCGCTCAGGTTTTATTAGCACCCAAGCTGTATTCGACATTCAGCCAGTGCTATTTGGTCACAGGGCGGATGCGACATTCAAAGCAAACCAATTTCCTTCAAATTTACATATTTGCAGTGGGATTGTTGAATAAGCCGTTGTAATCAACGAATGTACTTATTTTCAACATAATTCGTTTTGGAAGTTGAAGTCCACCCCGGGTGAAATAAGACGCTGGAAGGAAAGGCTGGTTGAAATTTCATAGCATCGTCACTGTGGAAAAAATAAACTCTGTCCCTAAAATCTCTTTAAGCAATCTAAAGTAATTAAGCTATTATTCAAAAAAAGGCTGTTAAATATGTTTTTATATCGGATATTTATCTTGACTTCCTTCTGAGATACGACTGGATAAATTCACAACTGTATTTTGCAAATCAATTAGTTTGTGAAGCTTCATAATAAAAGATAACTTGGCTTAGAACTAAACTGGGTCGGTTTGTATGCAATAGGAGAAGAATTATTTCCTATTTTTCGTATGTAAGTAGAGTTTCGAGACTACCAATAAATCAGTAATATTAGATGTATTCACCCAATTTGGTTTAAGGTGATGAAGGACTGGTATTAGAATTTTCCCACAATGACATGAATAGAGCTGACGTTTCCATTGAATTTCACATATTCTCCTACCAGTCCTTCATCATCTTAAACGAAATAGGATGAATACATCTCAAATTATTTCCTAATTTTAAGCAAAAGCTTTTCCATTGTCCCAAACGAAATTTCTGTCGTAGGCTATTTTTTCTCTAGTGTGTAGGTCAGGTCTTAGCTCTAACAGACGAGAGAAGCAATATTTTCATCTCTACCTACATTCCAAGACAAGATTACGAATGTTCTGGGCAGAAGAACTATACGAAGGCATTTTGACAGTGCCATTAGCCTTGGTCGGTTGGACGTATGCTTTCAGCTAGCCTCTCTCTAGTGTTTGGCAAGACAATCTAATGTGTAGGAAAGGATGTTGGGTTTAGAAGAATTCCTTAAAAACAATTGTTGTAACTTTCACTTCGCTAAAAAATGTGGATTGAAGGGATACTTAAATGTGTCACACCGGAAATCGAGAGGGGATCGTCAAGCCTTAAGCTGATAATTGGATGTCACATGCTGGACATAAACTCAACATGCAGTATATAAGTTGCATACAAGTATGTTAAGCACGGCCACAACTTTAAAGCCAGTGGGTTCCGGTGAAGTCAATTAACCTAGCAACAATTTACAGCCACCTTATCCGGGTTAGGGACAAAAAGGGGAGCCCAGCAAGCTTTGGAGTAATTCAAGTGTCGTCTGATTAAGACAAATATTCATAAAATGGCTTTAAATACGAAATATTTTCTTGATATCATACGCTGATATAAATTATT